ACACACACACACACACACACACACACACACACACACACACACACACACGCGGTGAAGATAAGCCCGAAAGCAGCCATGTCCTGACAACATCTGTGTTAGGTAGTAGTTGACCTCACCGTGACTCCGGTTTAGCCAAACGTTGATCCTTGGTATGAGACGATGCGTAAGGCATTCTTCTGCGGGGGTGTGTGTGTGTGTGTGTGTGTGTGTGTGTGTAAACCTCTTGTAACTTTTGAACGACTTGACCGATTTTATCGAGGTTGGCGCCATTCGAAAGGGCTTCACTAAACTTAGATTTCCTGAAAATTTGAACCGATTCGGACCGGTAGATTTCGAGAAAATGCAAAAAAAGTGAAAAAAAAGTTGTTTTTTTTTATTTTTTTCAAATATCTCTGAATTGGCTGAACCGATCGGTCTCAAAAACTAATCAGCTCTTAACCTTGAAAACCCCCATCGATCGCCACCAAAAACGTTAGAATCGGCTGATGCGTTCGTGAGATATCGTTGTCGAAAAAAATCGAAAAAAGTGTTTTTTTGTAATAACTTCGAAATTCATGGCTTGATCGATTTAAACTTGAAAATTTTCCATGGAGCTTCAAAAACTGCGTCGATTGCCGCCAACCGCGTGAAAATCGGTTCATTCATTCAAAAGTTATTGCCGTTTGAAAATTCAAAAAATTGTGTCTTTAAACTGCTATTAGAGTTTTGAGCTCGAAGAGCTCAAATTGACGCAAAAATAATATTTTTGAACTCGAAGAGCTCAAAAACGTAATGTGTAGTTTGAAGCGTTTAAGTACAAAATGAGCGGGAAGTTGCAGGGATGGCCTTTAGGGTGAACCGTTTTTCTAATTTTTTTTATTATTGTTATTATTTATATAATTAAGACCATATAAGGAAAATTTTATCTCGGGCATATTTATATGATAAAGAGTTTTTTTAATTAAAATTAGTATCATCGGAAAGGTCTTGACCTGAATTTGTGCTTTTTCAATGTTTCGTATGCTTTTCAGCGATAGCTAATTTACTATGATAAGTTTTTGACGTAGTTCTAAATTGGTTCAAATTTAGCGATGAATGTCATTTCTTCATTTATTTATTCGGGTTATACATATCAATGTGGTTATATGTCAAAAATTAATTTGTGTAATTAAAAGATTAACAAAAATTTTGTAACGGGTATATCTTTATTGCAAATTGATTTTGATATTTTTTCAGTGATAGTCATTTACTATTTGAATAATTAAGAGAGTGAAGAAAATTTTGGGTAATTATGCAGAAGTGGGGCTCCACCTATTTTAGATAAAATTAAAATAAAATAAAAAATTGATCTTTTTGAATATTTTTTTTTTTTTCAAATTATTTTTCTTCACGGCGGATTTATGATTAAAATAATAAAAAGTATGAAAATTGAATATTTTAATGATTTTTTTTCATTTGAAGTTCAAAAATTTACGATTTAAAAAATTTTCAAATTATAATATTCTGAATTTTTTATTCTAATTCACTATATTTTGATCGCTCTTTAAGAAAAAAAAAATATTTCAATAACCGGAAAAAATAGCATCGTCAGCATTTTATGAAAAAACACCTACAATCGTAAATTTTTTAACAAATTCAATTTTCATACTTTTTTTCATTTCTATGATAAAGTCGCCGTGAAGAACAATTTGAGAAAAAATACTCAAAAAGATCAATTTTTCAATTTTTACACTCAAAAATAGGTGGAGCCCCACTTCTGCATAATTACCAAATTTTGTGACGAGCATATTATTATTTTTAAAGGAATTTTTATAGCTAAATTTGGTATCATCAGAAAGGTCTTGATAAGAATTTATGCTTTTTCACGGCTTTATATATTTTTCAGTGATATTCAATTTTTACATTATTTTTGGAGCAATTTTGAATAGTTTCTTGATTCTATAAATTTTTCCCATCACATTTGTCCATTAAATTATTTATAAGTGATCCTTTCATGGCACGATTATTTTTCAAATTTATTTAAAAAGTACCCAAACTATGCATAGTGTGATTAGAAATATCAAAAATTATTAAACTAAAGTTTTCTTATTCGTGATCCGTAAATTTCGGTAATCACATAGTGACTGTCAGTTGCTAGTACGGATTAATATTTGAAATATAACTATGCATTTACATGTACAAGACAAAATAAATAAATGAAGAAATTTTATCTAACGCGTGAAATTCGAATCTATTGAGAACTACACTGAGAGAAAAAAATTTTTCTGAAAAAAATTAGCAATGCTGTAATAAGAAATATATTTAAAAAAAATTTTAAACAATTTTATTTGTTAGCTGAAGAAATAAAAATTTTTCTTATTGAAAAAAAGTTTTCTAGATTTGGGAAAAAAAAATTTTGGATGAAAATTTTCAAGTTGTCTTTCTAAATTGTTTTAAAAAAAAATAAAAAATATTATTATTATTATTTTTATTATTATTATTATCGCCGCATTTATTTGAAGTATTCTATAACAAAGTCATAAAAGTAAAGAAAATAGCTAATAAAACAACTGGATAGAATAACAAAATGAGAACACTGAGAGTTCATACTATAATATAAAGATAATGAATGATGAATAAGAAATGAGAAATAAATTTCTTATAATAAATGTAACAGAGATAAGGATTCGAAGTAGTTCATTATTACTTAACCTCATAGTATTGACTCTTTAATGAGTGATACAATAATTAAATCAGCCATCAGTCGTCTCAGCTCTTTAAGAATATTAAATATTTTAAAAATCGTGGGCGATTTAATGTGTGTGCTCTATTGAATAATTGACTAATTAATGACTTTCGTGTATACCAGACCCTCAGTCAATTGTCCTTACGCACGATACACTTCATTATATAGATTAAAATTTATAATAATTGTTGGAATATTCAAGACACCCGTTCTTGATTTATTTAAAATATTGATTTTGTTTTGTTATTTAAAAAAAAATAATATTGTTTATTAATTAATATTTCAGTTGTTTATAGTTAGTTTTATAAAGATGACTGATGTATCTGGTCTGTTTTATTAAAAAATATTTTATATAACTGCGCCTAAACTATTAATTTCAATAATAATCATAACAGCAGTGGAATCGTGAAAGAATTTCAAGGGTTTTAATTTTTAACGATTTAAAAAATTTAGTTTTTTTTTTTTTAACAATACGCGTTGATTTTTTTTTGCTGATTTGATTATCAAGGAATTTTTTCGCCGTCTGGCTGCTTTTTTAAAAACATCTGATAATTAACGAGACTATTTATGATCAAATAAATGGATTTTAGATGTAATATTTAATTAATCTATTTTGTTATTAACTTTTGTGTGCTATTGTTATTATCGCGTCAATCATAATTCATTTAAACTGATATTCAACTAGGACACGAGATCATGCCAATTTTATAACTAGTAAAATACTATTATTATTAAATAAATTGCAATAATAACTTAATTATACTAATGCGATGTGATTTTACGCTAAAAAAATTTTTTTTTATCTTTAATTAAAATTATTCTTGAAGTTTCTAATGATAAATAAAAACAATACTTAATTTGAATTAAAAAATAAAGTAAAAATACACACCTAAAACTATATGGCCCCATTTGTACAAAGTTTGGCTTCTTTCCTTTTTCTCTCAGCTCATCTGGATTAGTCCAGTTGAATAAATAGAAGTCAATGAACAATGGAAGTTTATCAGAATCTTTCCAAAGTTCAAATCCCCGCGAATTTGGCGTTAATGGTAATTCCTAAATAATATAAATTAAGTATTGAGTATTATCTGCTAAAAGAAGTCCAAAGAATGTAGGCTTAAAAACAAGGTCAATGTCAAGTACAATGTCCATTTTCATTTAAATATTCATGACTTTTAATGAATTGTGTCGCTTGAAGAAGTTTTATGTGAATCTATAGATTATGCATACATTAAATTAGTCAATGTTAATTAAGTTGATGATCGTATATCTTTGAAGTTATCAATAAGTCTTTATCTGTGAGTGGAATGGATAAAGTCACTTTTCATAATCAAGTAATTGACCCGTAAAATTAAGGCTGTACATTTTTTAAGTAATAAAAAACCAACAATTTTTCTTGTAATCTGATTTTTAAGAAAAAAAAAAATTTATGTTATACAAAAAAAAATTGCTTGTCTGTAAAGTCGGTTTACGGACGATAGACTTACGTGATAACGTCATAATCATTATTTTATGTAATACAAAAAAGGAGTTAGTTGAAAAATAAATTAAATTAAATTGATATCATAATAATAATAATAATAATAATAATAATAATAATAATAATAATAATAATAAT